GGGAAAAGGAATAATTAAGAATTTCCCTATATGTACCCAACTTTATGGCGCACACTGTATAATATTGTCTCATATTGTTCTTAATAAACTTGTTTTTTAAATTGATTTTTATATTAATTTGACTTTAAAAAACTGAGACAGGGCCCCAAAACTTTTTTTGCGTCGGGCCCCAAAGGTCCTAGATTCGCCACTGGTGAGTCTGTAAGATTTTAGAAACTCTACCCCAAGACTGCTTCTCCTTCAAGTCAAGCTGGATGTTAATGTCGAAATCTGACAGGACTCTAGACAATTTAACAAATCAGCTTTGTTCTCATGAGAAGGCATTATCAGACAAGAATAATGAAAGTCATCAGGAGGCGTTACTTGCAGAAAAGAGAAACAGCTCGACCAATAAGAGAAAACTAATTTGCAATTATTGCAAAAGTCTCATAAGGTCATAAGGTCAAACAATATAGGTACCTATTAAATGGAAAGAAGATGGTAGACCTCCAAAACCAGAAACCTCAAATTCAAGAAATAACAGAACACAGAAAAATAGGGATACAAACATGATGTTAGTTGCCTTAACAAGTAGTGTCTTATTTAGCAAATATGAGGAGGATAGCTGGTTTGTGGATAATGGGGCTACAAGTCATATTACAAATCGAGGTAATATCTTTGAAACATTTGAATATTTTCAAGATACACACACTATAACGACAGCGAATAGAGGAACGATTAGAGCAGTTGAAAAGGAAACATTCTGATACAAACAAAAGTTCAAGACAGAGAAAACGTTTTGACGCTATTAGACGTATGGTACGTTCCTCTGATTAAAAATAATTTATTTACGATTTTACATGCGCAAGATTTACAGCCTACATCAAAGCTTACTTCAAGCACTAAAACATGCAGTTTTATAGTTGGTGGTAGAACCATACTGACAGGTGAAAGAACTAGATTTGGAGGAATGTACAAACTAGCATTGCAGATCATAAAGCCAAAGGAAACAGCTCAAATCAACATAGTTTCAAATGATAACTTAATGCAACTATACCATGAACGCTTTGGTCAAAACAAACGATACATCGGAGCTATTTTGAGTCGTGAATTTGACCTCAAAGTGACAGACAGAGAAATATGTGAGGGTTGTATTTATGGTAAAATGCACAGGAAAAAGTTTGGAACGAGAGAAAGAGCAAAGGTACCAGGAGAACTCTTACACACAGATGTTTGTGGGCCTTTTGAAAAATTCAAAAGTGGCTATAGATAGTTCGTGCTCTTCAAGGATGATTTCAGTCGTTATCGCTATGTTTACTCTCTGGAAGAAAAATCTAAAGTTGCGGAAAAACTAACAATTATGTTAACTGAAGTAAAAACAGTAGGACAAGAACTACTCTTAGAAAATGGTGGAGAATTTGACAATGGTCAAGTAAGAAAAATTTTACAAGAAAGTGAAATCAAACAAACTCGTAATGCCTTATACACCAGAGTAAAACGGTTGGGCAGAGCGAGATAATCGTACTATCGTTGAAACTGCTAGATCCATCATGCATAATAATGAAGATTTTTCACAACTTTTCTGGGCTGAAATAATAAATACATTGGCGTACCTTTTGAACCCAAGTAACAGGTTATTTGACGTAATATTACGTTAAAAATGTTCTACCTGACGTCGCCATGCGACGTCCGTAGGACTTCCTGACGACGACCAAAATTCGACTAAAATAGGGAATGAAATTTCAGTCGATTCGACGTCGGGATCCGAACTTTGAGTCCTTAAGCCGACCTAAACACTATGTAATTTGACGTTGGTAATGCTATACCATTTCCTACTTGAAAAGTCGGGAAGATCTAAACGAAACAAAAATTTACGAAAATTAAGATAACCCTTAAAAAAAGTTGGGTCATTTTATTTTGTGTACCTACATACATTGTTAAGAGTTTAATCAATTTTGGTAAATTTCCGACGTCGAACCAACGTTGGCGGAAAACTTAGTGCCGCATATTTAAATTTAGTCGAATGGCAATGTCCGACCAACGTTGCCTACTATAACAAAGCTTACCTTGCCATAATAGGTTATATGGCGACGTTGTAGCGACGTCCAAAGATAACTTTTAATATTTTAGTCAAAAAAGGACGTCACGCCAATGTTGGCAAATTACTCATCAGCTACTTTAATTTTCGTGGGCGGCTTGCGTGGTCGAAGCATCGTTGTGCCGACGTTGTACTGCGACTGAAGCTGAGAAGTCGTAATACGACTAATATATGAACCTATTCTGACGTTGAAATAGGTGCAAATAACGTTGGACGAGACGGGAAAATGTTACTTGGGCATGGGGCTGGTTATTCTAGTATCGAAGAATAATCTCCATTTGAATTGTGGTAGGTAAAGCCCTCTTTGAAACACATGAGAATTATTGGAACATCCTGTTATGCCCATGTACCAAAGTCAGGAAGAAAGAAAATTGATAAAAAGGTAGTGAAAGGCATACTTATAGGATATGACCAAGATGATGGATATCGGTTTTGGTGTGAAGAATCTGAGAAACTAGTCAGATCGAGAGATGTGATATTCGACGAAAAACTCATAAGTTCAACGTTGCCATAGTTGGAAGACCCTGTTGCAGGAAAGGTACTCCAGAACAAGAAACTAAAGAAAACATTGGACAAGGTGGTGAAGAAGACGATAGTTTGGGGAATCACAGTTTTCCTGACACTGGCTCTGACATCTTAGTAGAATCGCCAGATAATGTTATTTCAGAAGAAGTCCCAAATGTACAGAGTAGACAACTGGGGGATAGAAATCAGATACAAAAGCCTGCCAGGTTTGAAGACTTCCCTATTATGGTTGCTGCAGACATTATGGAAATAGATGAGCCAATTACGTACCAAGAAGCTATGTCAAGTAATAGAGCAAATGACTAGAAAATGGCTATGGGAAGAGAAATGAAGTCTTTAGAGAACTGTGTTTGGAATTTAGGAAAGCTACCCAATGGTAAGAAGTCTATATCAAATAAATGAGTTCACAACTTAAAATACAATCCAGACGGCTCTATAGATAAATTCAAAGCCAGACCAGTTTATTCACAGAAGAAATATCAAGATTATGATGAAACATTTAGCCCAGTTGCTAGATTTGCTACAATACGATCTGTTTTTGTGTCTATCTGCCAATGAAAATTTAAGTCTAAGCCATTTTGATGTATGTACAGTATTTCTATATGGTGTGCTTCAAGAAAAAGTATACATGAAACAGCCAGAAGGTTTCAATCATGGTACATATAGGGTTTATCATCTAAGGAAGAGCCTATATGGACTTAAGCAAGCTCCTAGGTGTTGGAACAGAAGAATAACGGATTTCCTTCTATTCTTTGGTTCCAAACAGAGCGATGCCGATCCATGTCTCTTCATCATGAGGGAAGGAACAGAAATTCTTATTTCAGTTTTATATGTGGACGATGGTCTACTAGCCTCAAGCAATAAGGAAATGAAAAAATATTTTCTATGACAACTACAGATAGAGTTTAAAGTCACTGCATTCTGCATCATATTTTTTGAGTATGGAAATCATGAAGTCGAAGAATGGATCAGTTATCATAAATCGAAATGCATATGCCAAGAAATTGTTGAAAAAATTTGGTATGAACAATTGCAGATCCTACAAAACTCCAATTGTTAAGGATAATTCTCCTTCAGAAGAATCCAAAATTTCAAAATTTTCATATAGAGAGGTTGTTGTAGTATTACTTCACCTGATGTCAGAATCAAGACCAGACATTTCATACGCAATCAGTGTGGCGTCAAGAAGTTTGGAAAATCCAACTCACAAAGACTTTGTCCAAGTAAAGAGAATTTTCGGTTACATTCAAGGAACACTCAATGATGGTATCACTTACAGGCCGAGAATCAGAAGATATCACCTACAAGGTTTTAGTGATGCTGATCATGGAGGGGATAAAAAAACAGGACGCTCCACAACAGGAGTGGTATGTGTTGATGCTGGAGGTGCTATATCTTGGATGACTCAGAGACAACCTTCACTTGCCATTTCTACAACCGAAGAGAACAAGAGATCGTTGCAGCTAGCGAAGCTTCAAAAAAACTTGTATGGTTGAAAAAATTATATGGAGAAATAATAACACTGAAAGAAATTCCAGAGTTATTAGTTGACAACGAAGCAGATATTCTATTGGCACAAAATCCTATGAACCACAAGAGAACCATAAGCACATTCAGATTCGATATTTCTATGTAGAGAGCTTGTCTTAGAAGAAACTTTGAGTGTACACAAAACGTCTACAGAAACTCAAGTTGCTGTGCTATTATATGAGACGAAAGCCTTGTTCAAACCAAGACATGACATTTTATGACGTGACAATATGGGCCTAACCAAGATTTCTAATGAGGGAAGATGTTGAAGAACATTCTACATCTTTATGGAAGTCTTGAGACCAGTCATTTATTTTTTATATTTTAAAAAAGTGTATGACAGAGTGCCAATAATTAATTAATTACTTTTGTATTAGTGTATCAAATATATTTCGTATTTTCCTCTCAATTTGAATCATGGTTTCTCAAACTTCACCACTTGTTATTTGTGAAGGATCCCTACATGCAAACACTTCTACAATCTCGATGTATTATCTATTCACAATCCGATGTCCAAAGGTAAAGTTAAAATTTATTACCTTTCAGTGCTATTTGATAGGGAAAGGTGATAAATTTACCTTTACCTTTGGACTACGGATTGTGAATAGGATATAGGATACAGTTGTTGAGAATATTCAGATGAAAATGGAAACAAAAAAAATCTCGTTCAAAATTCAAATTGCAAAAAAAAATCCAATTCCTTTCTTGTTTCAAAGTAAAATTACTTTCCTCCGTGATCAATTTCGAATCCAATTTAGTATTCCAACAACAGCGTTGTCGAGAAAAAAATTATCACCCTGTATCGCAATTTAAATCAATGCAAAGGAGATAGAGAATGAGATTGATGTTCACCCCCTCGGTGTATGTGTGGCGCTAGAGGGTGGCGGCACCCCTGAAGGTGTGTGTGCGTGTAGTGAGCGTATGCCCTAAGTGCGTTCATTAAATGCTGTCGGTGTATTTGCTTATTAAGCACCCCCCGCGTAAGTAAAAAGGGAACTACTATCCGTAGTAATAACGTTGGCTGGGGGGGTTGGGGGATGATGGATTATCTTCTCCACCAATGACTCAAAGAGGGGATGAGTGGATTGGTACAAGGTACCTGTCTACTAAAAATTGCTGATATCAAAAAAGTAAAGAAAGATATGTATAATGTGCTTGCAATCTGATCAGTTTTTTATTTTCATTACAAGCAAAATAAAATTAGGATTGGATAGCTAGAACAGTTTGCAAGGAAACAGAGAAGCGTTTTATTTGTAAAATCTCTGGCCGTTGTTTAGTGGTACATCTAGTATGGCTTAAAAGTCTTTTTGCAAATGAAATGATGAAATAATATACCTACAAAATGACCCCTATCAAATAGAGAAGTGGATGTCGCTTCCAGACACACTGAAAGTTACAGTCAAATATTTTCATGTATTTTAACTTCTGCATCGACTCTAGTAGACATCCCTAAAATTTCAAATCGATATCTATTTGAATATTTCTAGAGCTTGGTCAGTATAATCTGTTGTGGTCACCCTGTATATGTATATGCAGGAAATTGTTGTGAGTTCCAATGCAGAATAATAATTTCCAGCTACGAACAATATCAAAACACACATGGACATTTTTTGTAGCTTCCAGATTTCATTCCTGCAGTCACATAAAATATAAATTCATAAAATGTATTACTTTCTCACTGCCTGAAAATTCCGACATCGATTTTCCCAGACAGGAAAAGTTGAAGGAAGTACATTAAAAATAAAGGAAATGATTTTCTTTTTTTCCAGCGTTTTGTGCGCCTGAAATGAAATATTCTACTCGTTAACGGTAACAGCCCCCGGGACGGTGAATGGTGAAGGAAAAGTAACGTAATCAATATATATATTTTTTTGTTCCTAGTTGCTTTCAGTTGGTAATAAAGCCTAATAAAAAGGAAAGCCTTTCAGTTTTTTTTTATGCACAGAGCCTTGAATTTAATATTATTCGCTAGCCGGTAGAATGATTTTGCAAACAATTTAATTTAAAAAAAATACATATAGGTACATATTCTATTTAAAAAAAGAAAACAAAGATTCTCTCCCCCATTATAAATTATGTATCCTCGCTAAAAAAAATAAAATAAAAAAAGCAAAAAGCCCCTGGATGTGCTTGTGCATCAGCTCTTGTCCGGTGGGATAGCAGCGGCGTTTTTCCCTTTTACTCCCCCGAGGGAGGCGGATTTGACATGGTGGAGCAACGACGGAGTATTGATCGGAGAGTGGCCTCCTGCTATCGCAGTGGCGGATGTAGAGATATTTTTATAGCAGGCAAAAAGTATCTGAAATCGACTCGACTAAAAAACAAAATTTAAATTGTAGTTTCTGAAAATGTACGGATTGTAACTAACCAATTTTCTGAAACCGTCAGTCGTAAGTAGTCAGAAGTACCTAATAGAAATATGGCACATCTGAGCCTGTTCAATGGTTTAAGGCTCAGAAAGTTGAAGTGCCAGATGATAATAATGATATGTGATTTCTGAGTTCTATCACCCTTTTTAGTTTATAGGCTTTTCAATCTCCTAACATTTCAGATTTCAGCTATCATTCCATCTTCACCTGACGATTTTGATGAGATCATTTTCAGGTCGTCTGTCCAGCGAGTAGGAGGTCTTCCTTTTGTCGGCTTTTGGTCTCCACTCAATGAGTTTCTTCGTCCATCTGAGTCCTCAGACCTTGCGACGTGGCCTGCCCATTTCCGCTTTACTTTTGCGATACGTTCTACAATATCGTTCACCCCCAGTTCTTAAGCGGATCTCATTATTCCTTTCTCGGTCTTTTGAAGTCACTCAAAGCATGGATCTTTCCATTCGTTTCTGTACTCTCAACTTGTATGCTGATACTTTGGTGAGAGTCAATGTCTCCGCATCATAAGTTATTACTGGGAGAACGCACTGGTTGAATGCTTTTCTTTTCAGGGATATTGGAATGTCAGGCCTAAACACATCCCTTATTTTACCGAATGCTACCCATCCCAAGGTTATTCTATTCGTCAACTCGCATATTTGGTTATCTCTGTGAATTCTCATCTCATGTCACAGCTATACGCATTTTTCGACTATTTCTAAGTTATTATTGCCTATCAGTATTTGCTCACTAAGAACCAAATAAGTCATCATTTTGGTTTTGGACTACTTCTTGCGTGGAACTTTGAAGCTCCTGGAGCATTTCATAGGCTTCACCCAGACTCCCTGATATTAGTAGGACAATATCATCTACAAAGCGAAGATTATTAGGGCTTTTCCCATCGATGATTATTCCTCTTCGCTCCCAAGACATTTACTTAAAAGCATGTTCGAGAACTGTGTTGAACAGCTTGGATGACATATAGTGTCACCCTGTCGGAGTCCTTTTTTGATTTTAATTTTTCTGGTGGTCGGTGCATTTCCGTTTCTATATGTTTTCAATAATTTTGCAACATCGGTGATCAACTCTATACTTTCTTGTAGTGATCTCAAGATTTCAGGAAGTTCCACTGTATCGAACGCTTTTTGAAGTCTACAAACACCAATATCACAGGAAAGTTGTATTCAGTACTCTTTTCTGTAAGGGTTTTGAGACATTGAAGGTAATCGTTGGTACCGAACCCAGAGCGGAAACCAAAGTGTTCCCGAGACTGGTAAAAGTCCAATAAAGCGTCTTATCAATTTTCTTGCTTCATTGCTTTCTCAATCCTTTGATTTTCTTCATTACTACTTTCTTACCTGCTTCTAAAAGTTTTTATGTTTTTATCAACGATGTTGTTCATCTAGAAAGGTACTTCTGATTTGCCTTCCATAACTTTTTCCAATGACCTTCAAAATTCCATACACTTTTAATTGATGAAACTCAAAGCTTCAGCCTGTTATTGAGCAACTTACCACTTCTAGATCCAATTTCTCGCAAAAATCGTTAATAGAATACAAATTTTCTTGTTCTAGAAGTATCTATGTAGAGTTTCTTTTATCTGCTCTCTTATTTTTGATCATAATAGTATTTTGTTAGTTTTGTTACTGAGAGAAATTATGATGAACGTGAAATGCAACGTGACGGTCGACGAATAAGCCTCAGGGATAGAATAGGAAATGAGGTCATTCGTAAGAAAACAGGGGTTGATGATGTCCTAGAGCGAATAACAACAGCAAAATGGAGAAGGGCAGGCCATATTGCCAAGATTGAACGATGGTGGATGTACCAAGAAAATCCTGGAATAGCGACCGAGAGCAGACAAGCGAGGCTGAGGTCGACCGCCCACCAGATGGACTGATGACGTGAAAAGCATCAACTGAATAACAACCGCACAGGAAAAAAGAGAAATATCTCGAGAAGGCCCATGTCCAACAGTGGACGAACCAAGGTTAAATTATTATGATGATGATGACCATGCCAAATCTGCTTTTATAAATTCACGCATTTGTCCACTTTATGTCATTTGACACCAGAAAAGCAATGAGAAGGAAACTCAAATGCAACCACACTTCAAAAATATCTTTCAGAAAATCGAAAAAAAAAAAAGAATTTAATTACTGTTTCAATGTGTGAAAATTACCTTCAAATTGAATACAGATATATATGATATATAGCGTCAATATGTTGGTACAACTAATATGTTTTATGAGATATAATGAATACCGATAATTTCTAGTAGAAAAATTTAGAAGCACCCTCATGCGTATAGTTCTTCTCGAAAAACAACAACGAGAAAGATAAAGTTAAGAGTCCGTCTGGCGTGTAAAATCGAATAAAAAGTTAGTTCCTCGTGGTTTGATTCTGGAATAGAAACTTTACACCCTCGCTGATAGAATAAGGGATCGAGACCCTCCCTAGTTTTTGTTGAGGTGAAAAGTTGTGACAATATTTTAAAATATTTATTTTACGATCACGCCAATGGATTTATGAAATATCTGGAAAAAATTCACAATACATTCTGTATTATTTAGGGTTGATTAAAACACAGTTTGACGTCAATTAGAGCCTCGAAAATAAAAGTCAGTTATGTAGTCATTTTTACGCAATAATGCCTACTTTTCACCCATCGTTCCGTTTAATGCAATATCAAAACGAGGGCCCCGGTTAATTGGCTGGGGAGTTTCATCATTGTGGAGCGAATGCTTCCTGTTCCTATCCCAGATTTATTCGACGATTATAATTGGCAACAATCACTCCGAGTTGGTAATTGATTTACATTTTCTCGAGTTTCGCTAACAGTCTAGTGAAAATTCTCAAAACGGAAGTATTCGAGTAAAAATAAAATTTGTTAGAATAACAAAAGACAACGGAGAGTGTCTCATAAATAATCGCACCCCTGGAAGCACAAGAATAAATATATCCCAGGCTTCAAAATAAGTCGTGCGTTGTCAAAAGGATAAAGACCCTTTACCCACGTAACTTGTACCAAAATGGACGGATTATCCTGAATACATACAAACGAGAGGTGTTTGAAAGTGAGGAAGCTTCAAGGACTGAGGATTTTCCTTAAAAATGCAATCCTAGTAGAAAATCAAAAATAAAATGTTTGCCAATATTTCGTATTGCTAAACAAAACATTTACCCAATTTATGGAAGACTGAAGGGACGGCGCCAGGATTATGGAAACATTAGCCAGAAAGGATTACGAATATCAGGTTTATGCCATCGGCTGAAAACTTTTGCACCAGGGGCTAAAGAAAGAATGTTACTTTGTGAAGCGTTTAAACTTTAATAGATTCTTGTTTCTGGAAAAGTAATGCTACTACCGTGGATTTATTAATATTTTATCCATAGGTACTTAAATTTTTCTTCTGAATCTTAGAATCAATAATCTTTCTTCTTATTATTTTTCGTTTAATATATCTGTAGAATTTTATCTCTCCTGTGTGGAGTTCGTTTTAATTGAAGTCCACTGGAAAATCTTTCATTTTTCTTTTTATAATGATACACATATCACATCTCTATTTGGTTTGTCTGAACTTTGCTTTGCCTGTTCTGGAACAAGCAAAGCAAAA